GGAAGAAGCTGACTTTGATTCATTTACCTCTGGCAGAGCCAAGTGCAGGAGGCCTGTTTTGTTCAGGAGAGGCTGTTAGCAGGACACACTGACTCATTCTGATAGCGCAGCCAGCATCAGGAGAGTGGTTCTGGTTAGTGATAACCGAGTGAAACATGGGTAGCCCTCTGGCCTCGTGGCAAATCGTTACAGGTTTTGCTCCCAGACTAGAACATGTGAATTTAAATATCCAGTAGGTGTAGTGGAAGTTACTCTATGACAAAAGTTTATAGAAAGGACTATATCATATAGTTATCTGCAGTAAGAGGAGACTATATTGTTGAGACATAGAAATTCCCTTTCATTTCCATTGCTGCACGATGAGGTATTTTGTGGAAAATTTTGGGTGATGTGTAATATTACTACTCAAAGCCCAAAATCTACTGCAAGGGAGTAAGCGTACACAATATGAAATAGATCAGATTGACACCTGGCACAGAGCTATGTCAGTTCATTTAAACCAGATGAACTACGCCCACCTTGCTATATGCATTAAACACCAGCAACCTGACAACTGTATGCTTCTCAAAGATCCCTCTCACTGCAAAAGTTACTGCTACCTTCAATAGAATCATTAAGTATTTTTACTTTGCTGCTGACCTATTTATGACATGTAAAACATGCTAGTATGCCGTAGTCTAAAATTCAAGCCGGTAGATCGCAGAAAAACCTTACAAAGAGGGAAAGCTTTGTACAAGAAAGTACAAAGCTATGGATAACTAACTGGACCCTCAAAATGTATCTTGACTGAAATCTAGTACTCCACTTCCTTAGAAAATTAACAAAAACTCTTGGGGATTAGCTATGAATTGTCATATTCACAGATATGCAATAATTGCACCAAATGCATCACATGTACATCTTCAAGTGCATCAAACAGCATGAGATCTCAACTTGGCGAGTTTGGGATTCAGGGCGTTAGGAAATATTTAATATAACAACTATTGGCTATACTAGTCCAAATTAAAAAAACAACTGTGATGTAAGCTCAGTAGGATCATTTTTAACAATTGTTTTGTAGTCAGGACAGCCTGTGCTCCTTTAACTGTCCAAACATTGTAAACTACAGCTACTTCTTGAAAAAGAATTCAGATTAAGTTGGAGTTTGCGGGGAGCAAGACAGGAGGTTTAGAAGTAGGCAGACAAGAAGGCCAAGAATTAGAAGGGAATTTGTTACAGAGAGTGAGAAAGGAGGAATCATGCATATTCAGTGTTCATAGTTTACTCTAAACTGCGTGGACCATAAATACAGTGGCATTTTGCAAACGCAGGTCAAAACACATAAAAAATTATTATAACTCAAATAAGAGTCATGAACATATATGACAAACACTGTCACTTCAATCACTATCTGCTATGAACCTCAAGTCTTCTTCCAAAACAGACCTGGAGCTTTCCGAGGACAAGGGGAGAAGCTCACTTGAAGTCTATGGAGGGAACCAGAAAAACGCAGAAGCAACACACTAACTAAACGAAAGAGGGAAAAGTGACGCGCGGGGCATACGAGAGTTTCCAGGCCAGAAGCAGAAAAAGGAGAAAAAAGGGAAGACAAAGTGTATTGAAAGTTGTCTTATAGCTGAGAAGCAATGGCTGAACCACAATGTAAAATACTTCAGAAAATAGTTTTCATGGAGAAAATTTCTACACTTTCGATAGGCAGTCTACCAAATGAAGTAAGGTTTCTTGTAATACTGCTAAGAGAAAAGTAATTAAGGGGTGCATATACAATACATACTCAGCTTTTGAGGGAGAAAAAGCTTACTTCTGGAGAGAAAAAAAAGATATGCAGCCTATTTTTTAATTTATGTGGTAAAAATGCAACTAGGAGAAATAATAAGATGGCAAAGCAGCACAAACATAGAGGTTCTAGCCTTACACTTAAGGGTTAAGGTTACATACTAACAAACTAGATTCCCCAAAACATAAGCCTAGAGCTAGGCTGATGACACTTGGGCACCTACAGTGTTAACAAAGCCTTCCATCCAAAACTCCTGCTTCACTGCTCAGATCTCTAAGTCACAGGAAGCTACCAAGTGCTCAGTGCTGCAAAGAACCAGCGTCCAAACATGTATGCACTCCTTAGTGTACCTTCAGGTTTGAAAGCCTCAACTTACAATTCAAATCTCAACATAGTATTTCCTTTCAATTCAAAGCTGGTAAAAAACAAACCAAACCACATAAAACGGCCTAATTCATACCCTCACGTATCAGATTCTTGTGACAAAAAGGCCCCCTGAATATATTGCTAGACAAAAAATACTACTAATTATGTCCCTGTAGCCAGTGCTTCTCCACTGGATGCTTTGTTAAATATTTCCAGACAAAAATATTGAACAACTCTAGCTGTCTGAAATCTGCTGGCTGTCATCATGAGGAAACAGGCATATCTTCAGTTTAAGACGTTATGATTATTTTATTTGTTCTATCACTTCTTTGTTGCATTTCTCCAATTCAACACTAGGAACTATCAGGCTTCTAAGAACTCAAACCAGAGAAAGACAAAAACTAGAAAGGGAAGATATGGAGGTTATTCTGTTGAAAGCATTTTTTTGTCTTGTAAAAATAATCACCATCATGTTGACACTGGAAGACGACCAGTCCTGTTAAAAATTCACAGTTGTGTCACGTATTTAGTTGAGTGTTCCCAGGAAAACGAACACTTAAACTGTAAGCAAACCAAAAATTAACAAAAATAGAAAATACTATCATAGAGCTCTTTACTGTAAAGTGACCCCTGGAACACCACTGACCTTTGGTGGCTGTTTCCACTGACAACTGTTATATACATTTCCTTTCCAAGAATCTCCTCATTATTACATGAAAACTCTGACGCTCAGAAACAGCTTAGGAAGAGAATAGTCTTTCACTTTGCCAGGAAAGATTACAATGCACAGGAAACACACAGTATGGTTTCAAACAAAGGTATTTCCCTTCAACTCCAGTGTAGCTTTTAAATATAACAATCTTCCCCTGGCTATGTTGTCCTGACCTGATTTCATTGGTCTTAAGACTAAATAATAAATAATACAAGACTCTGAGGCTCAAGCCTACATTTAATCTTTTCACAGTTTTGGAGTCAAAGACCATAATCTTAAACAGAAATTTGGGAAATTTATATTTTATTCCATACCTCATTGTGATTCTTGCTTAACCATTCCTTAATAGTGTTAAGGGCAATGACAGCAGCAGGTTCATTTGGAAAACCTAAAGACAGAATAAATGAGAGATAAATAAAAGGCACACATTTTTCTATACATATAAGGAAATAAAAATCTGGATTCCAGCCCCCAGCCCCATTTTTTGGACTATTTTGGGATTACAGTTGGTCAACTCCCTTCTTCACAAATTTGTATAAAGGTTTTAGGTAACATCAATTACTTTTTTCCCAGCTAAACAAATTGAAAATAGGGCCAGTGATGTTTTATTGCATTTTTTTTTTTTAAACTCCAGTTAGGAAAGCTCCACAGCTCAAGACAAGTAGAAACAATAGAGAGCTATACATGTGTCATACCAGGCAGGCAACAATATAACACATATATCACAGTAACAAATACTAGGCTTACATTTCATGGCATGCAAGAAAAATTCAGACATTTCTTAAGGCTTTCTTTCTTTAATCCATCTGTCAGCAAAACTATACAATGCTATGACCCCAGCGCCATAGGCCTTATAAGGATAGAAATGTTTGAGTTAGAAATCTCTTAATTCATGACCTAAAACATAATGAACAACTTTGGAAATTAAAGAATTCATGAAGCATAAGCATATGAATTTAAGGCCTGATGTTGCATGATATACTAGCAATAGTAACTCCCCCCAGCACTAAACAATATCAGAAATCTTTCCAAGGATACAGACTTTTTGCTTTGATGGTCTCTATCTATCAAATCTAAAGATGCTTTCATTACTTAGGCAGCCTTAATTTAATTTTCCTTTAAATCCCTAACTTGAGGGCAGCAAATCATTTTTGTGAGGATTTAAAAATAAAAACCCATAAGCTGTATGAATAGCTCTCAGTAGGTTAGATTAATAGAACAGTCTTTGAAGAGGTGGAGCTGCAGGCACAGTGTACAAGCAAGCAACGGGGCTAGACAGAAACAGTCATGAAATCTGGCATACAGCTGCGTACATATAGCCTTTTTTTTATATCATACATCGCCCCTCGCACCATAAACTGAAATGCAGACACTGCAAAAATTAGTAGATGTGTCCAGCTTTTTGACCTGGCACATTATCCTCCAAACTTGTATCTTCTCTAACCTTTTTCCAGAACTTGTGCACTGCTAGATTAAAAAAAACCAACCAGACAAAAAAAAATCCCTCCAAATTTGAGTCACATCCCCAAAACATTACTCCCTGTAACTGGATGCTGCAAGGATTTTGTCCAGCAGCACACGTACTGTTTTGAAGTGACAGATGACAGCTATCCAGCAAGAGCAGCAAGTAAAATAGTCAGTGTCTGAGTAACACTGACATTTAGCATGTGCTTCCTTTGCACACATTTCTCAATAAAGCATAGTTTTAAATTTTTTGAAATCTTTTTTTCCAGGCCCAAGATGGAAAATTAGCTAAGATCCTACAAGTGTTACCGTGGATACTTCGACTGCCACTGGGAAAATATATTTTTATGACATTTAATAATGCCGCTGATATCATCAAGGCATATGTCTTATGACACAAACTAATGAACACTAACGAAACCCAAAGCAGGGACTTCCAACAGCCTCATTTTCATCATATAAAATAACAGACCTCTAAGCAGACCGTCTGCTTAAATTAGTAATATCCTACCCAACAAACCGTGACTTTGTAACATAGAAATTCTGTACCCTGAGCGTAGTAGATCTGCCTGGACATACAATGAACGCCACGCAGAGGGAGAAATGCGTATTTCAGACAACTGATATACCATTGTTTATGCACTGAATGGTTTATTTTCAGAACAATTCTCCCTCCAGCAAGATTCACTTTTCAGGCTTGTTTTTCACTCACTTGCAGCAGGGTATTTGCCCAAAACTGTGATAAAGCACTGGCGATTTTATAGAACCTCTCCATAAATTGTACATTATTTAGAAAACTGCTGCCATACTAACCAATCTTAAATAGAAGCTTATCTAGAAAACAGGTGTTCAGTTACTCCTAAGTGACCACAATGTAAAGGAAATAGTTCGGCAACCAAAATAAAAAGCCTTGCATTCTGTGTATGATTTTCAGAAAGTATCTCGAAATCCACAGAAGCCTTTTATGACCAGTTACCAAAAAAATCTAATTAGTATTTTACACACATTTCTGGCAATTTTAATGAAAGGATTACCTTATTGACTTTATGCAGAAGCAGGATGGAATTTAGCCTCCTGTTCCATACCCTGCACCAGCACAAAAGGCCCTGTGTCTCTGATTCTCAAACAGAAAAACATTTTGGTTTATAGGACTGGGTTAAAGGGAGATAAAGTGAGATGGGATCTTTTTAAACACCTTTTTGTGTTGTTTTTATCTCTAAGCTACATTTGTCTGCCATAACATTTCGGGTCTGCTCCCATACATACACCCATCCCCCTTCCCCACTTTCAGCGAAAAAGCAATCTCAGTGAGCACGTGGGAATCAAATTACTTGAGAGAAATGAGCTCGAGGAGCCTCACAGTTAACCGACTGCTGGAGCAGCAGCTCAGGCAATTCTGGCTAAAGGCTCAATTTCACAAAAGATAAAACAGGTAAAGTAATAAGAGTGACACTGGCCCATGTTACTGCAGTGAGCGCTCCTCCAGAATACTGAAAAGGACAAGGGCACAAAAAGGCAAAGAAGCATTAGCCGTAAGGTACAGGCAAGTGGTGCCTCCGCAGGGCTTCACTGGGTTTATTTGGCTGGAGAAAAAGGGAGGGTTGGCAGGCTGTGTGTCATGGATAGGTGTGGCGTGAAGTGTGTACCTACCCACACAGGCCTCTAACTTGGGCTGGCCTTCCTACATCCTCCAGTGGCGAAGCCGACATTTTGGCAGCAAATCCCGCTACGCCACAGAAATAGTGCAGGCTGCCTTCGGTTCCTGAAGAGATGCTTCAGCAAGTGGGAATTTTACTGCAGCCTTCTGCATTCTGCAGTGCCCACTAATCACATCTCACCGTCTACTACCAGGATTTACTCCCAGCCCTTCAAGTATAGCAAATCTGAGAAGCAAGCAGCTGCCATTTCTTGTGCCCCTCTCAGTTCAGGAGCCTTCCTTTAAAGTACAGTTTTATTCCTTACAGCTGATGCCACAGTAGGTGCAAGCCTGAGAAGTCAGAAGGAATGAGGGCGTGCAGAAAGTCCTGCACAGTTTGAAAGACAGTGGGTGAAGGAGAGAGAGCATGCACATGCATGGCCAGGGCTGAGCTTTGCTCTGCTCGTTGAACACTACCAACTCTTGAAAGTACGTCAGTGCTGACCATCTCCACGTGCCTGTCCCTCTGGCCATATGGGAAAAGGCTGTGTCTCGCAGCCGTGTCTCCAGAAACACTTGTTACTGCAAAATCTTTGTAATTTGCTTGGAAACTGTTATGAAGGCTCTCACATCTTTGCCCAGTTGCTTCATAGCTAAAATGTCACTCTAGACAGGACAGCTGCCTTTGTATACACCTTTAGAAAAGTGACTGCCAGCTTTAACACTGACTGGGGTACCAGCATCAGTCAGGCCACAGCCAAACTTCGAAACTTCCTCTCCTCCTCTTTGCGTGTTGCTAACAGATGTATGTACTACTACGTTCACTCCCTAAGATGAATGACTATGCCGTCGTACTCCCCACTACAAAAACCCCATCCTACTACAATCACATAAAATGTACCTCATCTGAACTCTACTGCTTTTGGTATGTCCTTGCACAGATATTACCCACGGTGACAGCCTATGAAAGCTTTTAAAGGTCTTCAAACTTATGAGCTTCTGTACCTCTTTCCAGGATTTTACCACCTTATTCCTGGAAATTGTAACACTGACCTGAGAAATGGCTGCTGAAACATGCTGTACACTGTGCAAGTTCTTGCAGTCATCGTGGCCATAGTTTTCCAGAGAAGGCATGATAAGATCTGGCAGAATTATTTTGAAATATCTGATATTAAATAAATGCGCTGTTTTAAAGGAGGAGAGTGTGGAGAACTGAGAAAGACAGTAACGGTAGAGATACATGCTGAAGTTCCCCTTACATTTTGTATTTATTCCCTGGAAAGCAACTGGTAAGAACGTAAGTCCCCCTGTTTCATCAACATACAGAAAATATGCAATGAATTCCCTGTTGTTAGACACTCTAGTGTAATTGCTCAGCCTTTTGTGCTTGGGGGATTTAACAGAAAAACATTTACGCTATTGTGAGTGTCTGTTACTGTATGCCTAATTTGTCTGTGCAGTACCTGAAAAATGTATACTAGAAGTTCTTCAATGAATAACAGTGCAACAAGGATTTTATGAGATAATATTAATAGAAATCTATTTAAGGGACTCCCAGATTATACGGAGATGCTGGTGGCTTTATCTGTCTCTTTTACTGTGCTCAATCCAATGCTGCATCTTATTAAAAATGTCTGACTTACAATCAGGTAATGCCACCTCCCCATGAAAAGCCCATTAACAAAACATAACTACTAAATAATCAACATTTAATATGATATAGCTGAAGATGATGATAACAGATTATATCCGTTAGGTTCTAATACTAACAAGCAAATGTCAATCCAGAAAATCACTTCAGTAGCTGCAGGGCTAAGCGTTATAATTTGTCAGTTTAACTGAGATGCCTAATGTTTTCCGTAAATCAACTCATCCTGGTTAAAAAAAAAAAGTCTGCATCTTTCTTTGTTAGCACAGCCTAAATGCTAGACAGGTTTTTATTCATTTGAAATATGCTCCCTTCTCTATGGTTTCTGAAAGGCTCATCACAATCTTAATATTCTTATTTGCCAGTTTTAATGGTTTCATTTTGAGCAAATCATGAAAAGAACCAAATGCACATCAACACAAATACTCATTATGTGTTTCTCATACTTTCTTAGAAAAATATCTATACTGGCATGTTTGTGCATATATCAAGATGTGATAGTTTACAGACTGTTCTCGCGTTCTAAAATCAAACCCCAATCCCATTGTTTAATCAACATGGCTGTCAAAATGTAATAACTTCCATTTATTTAGTTTATATATTTGCTGATGATGTTTAATAATACATAACGGATGCTCTT